AACCAAAATCAAAAACGCAAACCTCACCTCCGATCCAAATCCAAAGCCCACAGCGCGCGCTAAATGGGGGCGCGCATCACACATCTCCACCCCACATACTCCCATACACAGTCTCCTCGGTCCGCGGAATGTGCTGCTGCCTACCCGTCAGGGTGGTGGCACTCACGATCCCGATCCCCCATCCGCTCATATATACACGGTAACGGGATGCTCCACACTGTACACGTTCACTGTAGTTCGGACAAGCCCTCCAAATGGCACGATATCCGTCGGACAACAAGAGAATATATAGATATGTACCTGTTACACCAACAAAACATCAAAAAACAATAACTATAACAATACAATACTGTTCTTTACACGCGCGGGGGAAGGGGGAATAACACACGGGTTTACAAAAAGTTCCAAAGTCATAAATCATCTCATATAAGGGGGGAAGGCGGGGCGGGGGCGGGAAGAAGGATCCCAGACCAAAACAAAATATAGACAAAGCCAAGGGGGGTAGTACGCAACATATAAGCAAGAAAAACACGAAACTAAAAGCCAAGGAAGAAGAACATACAAGAATGGGTGGGGAAGGGGGGGTATAGTACAAGGGTTCCAAAACCAAACGGAAAACTACACGGCACACACAAAAATGTACGTCACCGGGCAACGAGGCGTGTGCGGGTTGGCATCCGGGATAAGTGATTAGGGTACCGTGATATGGGCGGGGAAGAAAAAGCTGTGTCGAGTCCCCGTCAAGTCTCCTTTTTATTTCTGCTTTCACATGGTCGGCGCCCTGGCGCGTCCATTCGGGTGGAGGCCACGTCGGGCTCTCACAGAGTGGTGGCCGTCATGATGATGGTGGGCATGGGCGTGATGCTGGGTATGATGGTGATGGTACTTGTTGTTGTTGTTGTCATCGTCCTCATCGGTCTCGTCGGTCTCGTCTTCATCGGTGGTAGTGGCGGCCGAGGCAGCGAGCGAGTCGAGGAGGGTTTGGGACTGCGCGAGACGGTTCTTCTGCTTGCGGTGGGTCTTTTTGTGCGCGGCCAGGTTGTCCGAGCGGGAGAAGCGGCGTACACAGCCTTCTTCATCGCACGGGAAGGGCCGTTCGCCCGTATGCATGCGCAGGTGCCGGGTGAGGTGTTCGGCGCGTTTGAACGATCTGGCGCTGCGATAGAGAAAAGAAGAGAGAACGTGTAGTTGGTCAGACAAGGCCCCAAATTCAGGGATGTGCTTCTATTCTAGGATTACTTACCATCCTTCTTCAGTACACGTAAAAATCTTGCTCAACGCGGGTCCCGGGGCGCCCCAAGCTGTCGCCCGTCTAGTCCGAGCATACGCCGCATGCAGGGGGTGATCGGGGGGCGGGGTAGGAAGGGTATAATGGTGAGGAGGGTGGGACGGGTACAAGCCGGCGGCGGCCGCCGCCGCCTGGCCCATGAGTGAACGTTGGGATGCCTGCAGCGATGCGGCACTGGCGGAGGCACTGGCGGTGCTGTTGGGTATGCCGAGTGCCGGATCAAGGATCTGGGACATCACAGCTGCGCGTTGGGTGTGTTGATGGTGCGCGTGGTGATGGTGATGCGGATGCATGGGCCCTGTGCGCCAGATGTGGTAGGGCGATACGGCGGGGTGAGGGTGGTAGTGTGGGTGGTTTTGTTGATGGTGTTGGTGTTGAGCGGCTGATGGCTGTTGCTGTTGTGTTAGTTGGAGTTGTTGCTGGTGGTGGTGATGGTGGTGGTGAGGGTGGGAAGGGACGGTCGGGTAAGCAGAAGAGAAAGGAGTCCCGGCAGCGACGGCGGCAGCAAGGGCGGCTTGAGGGGATGAGGAGATGGCAGTCATCAACTGCTGTTGCTGGTGATGAACAGCCGTGGGAGAGATAGGCGCTTGGAGGTGGTGATGAACAGCCGCGGGAGAAATGGGCGCTTGGAGCGGCGACGAGGAGGAAGGACTCGCGGAGGAAGCGATTGCGGCAGAGGACATGGATGCGACGATCTGATCTGATGATGTGAACTCGCCGTTGGAAGGCACTGTTTCGATCTTGTCGGAGGCGCCCCCTCCGGCTACGGAGCGGCTTTGTTGGTGCCGATGATGATGGTGGATGTAAGGGTAATGTGCGCCGGCGCCGGGAATGCGGGGAGGAAGGTATGCGTTGGCTGCAGCGTGGAACTGGTGGTATGATTGCTGATGCTGATGCTGATGCTGCTGCACGACTCCGCGTTGATGACGAATTTGCTGTTGCTGCTGCTGCTGCTGTTGGTGGTGGTGAGGATGGGCTCCGGCCATGGGCGGGACGTGAGCAGCATAATGATGCTGCTGCTGCTGGTGGGCGGCAGCCGCGGCGGCCCATTCATCTTTAAGGGTGGCAGCGCTCATGAGCGCCCATGTCCCAGGTCGCTTCGATAGTAGCTGCTGCTGTTGCGACTGCTGTTGCGAGGCATGGATAGGACTCTGCTGCGCAGAGAAAGCGGAGGAGAGGACTGGGGAGTGCTGCTGTTGGTCTTGTGACGGAGCCATAAGCGACGAGGCGGACGGCGAGAGGGACAAGGATGGAGTGTTGAGTTGCTGTTGTTGCTGTTGGTGTTGTTGTTGTTCAGACTTTATCTCTGCGTCCGAGGCGGAGACGGCAGTAACGGAGGCGGCAGCGACAGCGGCTTGCTGATGGGCGGCCATTTCTTGCTTTTGCTGATGTTGCTGCTGTTGCTGATGATGCTCTCGTTGTTCTCGCTGCTGATGTTGTTGTTGTTGTTGTTGTTGATGCATGGTGGCGTAGGGTCCAAGCTCGTAGGTCGCCGCAGGGGCTTGCGCAGCAACATTCCCAGACGCTCCGGCGTCTCCGGCGGCGATTCCGGCAAAGTCGGCAAAATGCGAAGCTGATGACAGCGGCGACGGGTTCCAATCCAGTAGAGTGGTCATGGTCTTGGATGAGAAACCGTAGATAGGTAGGGTAGGGTAGGGAGGAGTAGCGGGGGTGGGGAACCGCGGCGGGGGGAAAAGAAGGAGATCGGTCGGTTCTGTTCCCGTCAATAGGGACAAGATCGAACAAGGAACACGTAGTGTAGAGGGGGTGGGTGGGTGAACAATGGGATGGACGGCCTTTTGACATAAGTTGGTCAAAGGAGAAGCGCGAGGAGAGCCAGGGTAAAGTCAAAACGGGATATGCTACTACCCTCTTTTGTTGTTTTCCCACGCGAACGTTCTAAAGCGACAAAAATACGGGGGGGAAAGAGGGGGGGGGGGGGGCAGAGTTGCTCCTGCCGCGATGATATATAGGTGGGCCGTGCACGGAGATATACAGGGAGGAGGAGAGTATGTAGAGTAGGTAGGTAGTCGGGTATAGTCAAGTCAAATGGGAGATGGAAATTAACAAGTCGCTCGTTTGCCAGTGAAAAGGGCGAAGGGGAACGCGCAGGGCCGACAGGGGATAATAAAGAACGAGAAAGAGAGAGAGAGAGAGGGGGGGGGGGGGGGGAAAGGAGGTGCTGGATATTAATGAACGGCACGCGTGGAAGAAGAAAGAGAAAAAGACACCGACTGACTGACTGACAGCGTGGGAAAAAGGGGGAGAATGATGATTATTGATGAGAGAAATGTCTTCTTTTGAAAGACAGAATGGTGTCATCAGTCAGTCAGTCAGTCGGTCGTCGCTTTCGCATGCCACTAACTACTATCGATACTGCCTGCCTGCTTGGTTGGTTGGTTGGTCGCGCGGGCAGTTGAGTCGGTTGGTCGGCGGGTCTGTCGGTGGTGGTGGTTGGTGGTGGTGGTTGGTAACGCGATCAGGGGGAAGCGAGCGAGGGGGGCACATGGCTGTGTGCGCCTGAGGCCTGGTTCTTTGGTAATTGACATCCATGGAAATTGTTTGGCTGTGAATTGGGCACTTGGGCATGTGCATAGGGGGATTTGTTCTAGCTGATGATGTTCAGTTTGCCTACTGTTCGATGAATGACCCACACACATGCACGCGTGGAAGAGGGAGGGTCCTGGACTGACTGAGTGACTGACTGACTGACTGACGGTTGTCGGCACATTTGATTGCACAGACAGAGTTGTGTCCCTCAGTCATGGATTCACAAAGCATGCATGCGTGTCGCTTCCTCGGCGTCAGTCAGTCAGTTAGTCACTCAGTTCAACTCTGTGCAGCGGGGCGGGTTGGTGGTGGTGGCGGAGCGGGAGCGGGTGTATCTGTCTGTGTATCTGTGCATCTGTGCATCTGCATCTGGGTCTGGACGCCCACTCTTGCCATGAAGTGACGATGATGATGATGCCCTTTTGGGTTGTGTGATATCTGTGCACAAATGCTCTCTTTCTCTCTCTTTCGCATAACATGACGAATGACGAGCGGAGGGAGGGACCTGCCCTGCCCTTACTTTGCCCCCCCCCCCCCCCCCCCCAATTTCCACTGCGAATTGCCATGTGGGGGTTGGTTGCGGGTTGGGGATGTTTGATTTGATTGCCTTGTTGTTTTGTACCACTTTGTGCAGCGGCAATTTGTGGACGGAACGCATGGATGAATTGGATGGATGGATCGTTCATTAGTGACAGTTGTTTGATTGAGAGTGTCTATTTTTGATATTACAAGCACAACATTCATTTGCAATCACCACATCATCGACAACATCGAAATGATGATGATCCCCACATGGCCGGCCGATTCCAACTTGCGCCCCTCCCTCCCACGGTTGTTGAGGGCTCAGCTCAATTTTATTGACTCCGGGGCTGAGTGATGAGTAACGCCGAGAGGGCAGATGGGCGGGTTGGTAGCTGAGCCGCCCGCCCGAGTGTCTGGAACAGAGCGTCTGTCTGTCCGAGTCTGTCTGTCTGACTGTCCAACGTGGGTGGGGGTGGGTGCGCAAAAAGAAAGGGGGAAAAGAGAAGATGGGAGGGTGAGTTGCACAAATGAGAGGAAAGTTGTCTTGTCCGCCTTATTCATTCTTGAGAGGGGCGAGTCAAGTTCCACGTGGAAGAAGGGTTCGCATGAGAATGAGTCATTAGTGGATGCCACTCATCCAGCCTTCTTAGCTCAGTTGGTTAGAGCGTCTGCCTAGTAAGCAGAAGGTCCCGTGTTCAACTCTCGGAGAAGGCATTCACTTTTGCTTTTGGCACAACGAGCCCCGTTGACGTGACTCTCTCTCAATACGAGTCTCGCCGTTTTCGTCCTTGTCGTTGCCGAAATCTTTTTCAGCGGGGCATCTCGCACTGCACACATCCCGTCCACACAGCACTCTGTCCAAGACGCACGTCCCACAAACCCTTCACATCCTAATGTCGTCTTCAACACCACCCAGCCGCACCGCCGGCTCCTCTGCCGGCGTCCAACGAGTCCTGACCAAACTCTCCCGGTCCGTCTCGGACGGCAACTACTACGAAGCGCATCAAATGTATCATTCCATCTGCCAGCGGTACCTCAAACAACACAACACCGCCGCCGCCATCCACCTGCTGCATCAGGGCGCCCTCTCCATGCTCGCCGCCAACCAGCTCGGCAGCGCCGCCGACCTCGCCCAACGCTTGATCGACATTTACAATGATGATCATGTCCCCGTCGACAATGCCTCGCGATCGACACTGCTGGATATCTTCCACGCGTTCCCGCTCAAGACGGAACAGTGTGATGTGTTTGTGCGCAATGTCGTGAAATGGAGCGCGCGCAACAGCGAATTCAGCGTGGTCGGCGATCCAGCTCTCCACCACGCCATTGCGTCCCGATACTTTAAAGAGGGCGCGTATTATGACGCCGAAGCCCATTTTGTCTACGGCTCGACCGACAGTGCACGCGCGTGGGGGCATATGGCCGCCGAATGGGCCACCCAGGGCTATTTCCCCGATAAGGGCTACTTTGTTGCCCGCGCCGTCCTCCCGTACCTCGCCGTTGGCAAAATCCACCACGCGGCATTGGCGTTCCAGACGTTTGTCAAGGATGCGGCGCTCCTCACCACGGCCGACCCGGCCCCGACGCCACTCGCCTTTGAATCGGCAGATGGAATGGCAAATGCGTTTGACGTGCACCACTACCCGTCCTCGGCGCTCCTGAACTTGACCCAGCTCCTCATCATTGTCGTCCAGCGGGACGCACCCACCCAGTTTACCCAACTCAGAACCAAATACAACCCCATTCTCGCGTTTGACCCGTACCTCGTCGAACTGGTCGAGAAAATCGCAGAGATCTATTTCGACCTCGGACCCAAAAAGTATGCCAACCCGTTGGAGGATATGATGAAATCACTCTTTGGAGGCGCAACACCCGCTGCCCCGTCCCTCGGACAGCCGAGAAGGAGTGTCGCCGCCCCGCCCCCCGAGCCCATGGAAATGGATTAGATAGAAGACGGCTCACCCCCCACATCACGTACCTGCATGGGTTGGAATATCTCCATGGTTGGGAGGAGTAGTAGCCGCATTCCCCCCCCCCCCCCCCCCCCAACCGTCGGTTTTTTTACGTTCCTTCATCTTCATTTTTTACATTTTTTTACATTACATTCCTGCCGTTGATACTTACTTTGAATAGATGCCTGTACACAGAACTACAAGACCCCAACCAACCCAGTCTACTCCCTCTTTCTGCTGCATTGCCCCCCTCGCGGAGGTTCCGACCAAACAAGCAATAAAAAATCAAGTTAGCATCTCGAGTCTTTTCAACTCCATACCAAGCACTCATCAATAAAAAAAGAGAAGTGAATGACACTGAGGTTGGGACACACACCCTTACTCACCCCCCTCACGCACCCCCGATCGCGCGCCCCACCCATTTATAGTTAGTTGTACCCGGCCTGCGTTTTTGTTTGTGATCGGATGTGCTTGTTGCCCATATTCCAAACACGCTACTCATTGCAATCGTGTGCGGTCTCGTCGCACTTGAAAAAATAGTAGACCCACAAAGCCGCATGGGGGTGTAATTTCTAATTTCATTTTGATATGTGCATGTTTATGATAATGGGGTGGATGGGCGTGGGGGGGGGGGGGGGGGGTGGATGCCGTCGCTCCATTGCTGTTATATCGCGTCATGTGGGAGATGAATAATGATAGAATGAAAAATATAAAAAATACAAAACACCAGCACAAGACCCCCAGCTCGTTTCGCATCACTAAGAAATAAACACGATGCTTGTTTCTCGTTTTTGTACTTTTTACAGCCGATACACCTCGACCTCATAGCGGGGCCCCGCGACATTTTCCAGCATGCGTTTCCACCTGCGTCCCTTATTGCGGTCGTTGCCGTCCTCATCCACCGTACTACTGTTGTTGTTGTGCTTGTTCTGCTTTTCTTGTTTATACCTCTGCTTCTCCGTCTCCATCACCAACAGGGGCGCCCGCAGCCGCGTTTGGAGGAGCGTGAACAACTGCGTTTGCGTCGTGACCGAGATGTGGATGCGGGTGAGGAGCGCCGTCAGCGCGCGCGTGTGGAGGATGGTGGGGAGGTGCGACGTGAGGAGGAGGGGAAGGATGTCGAGTGCCTATATGAAGAGAGAGTGAGTGGGGGGGTGCCCGGGGGGGGGGGGGGATTGCGACGTTGTTGTGACATACCAAATTCCATTCCTCGAGACTATGCTCCTCAATGCGTTCCTCGTTCCGCGGTTGTTCCCAGACCCACCAGAGCGGGGGTCGTGTCGCGGGTGGCAGATGCGATTCCGATTCCGATTCTGAAACCGCAGCGGGTGTCACGATTCCATTCTCCTGGGGGTGTTTCCGTCCATCCCCATCCGCTTGCTCGTCCGTACAGACGAGGATCGCATACAGCCACTCGACCACAACCGTCAGTTCCCGCGCACTCAGCTTTTTGAGCGCGTACACGAGGAAATTATCCGTTCGCGGGCGGTTGAAAATGGCGCGGAGAAACATGTCCCGACCCGGTGTCTTTGATTTCGATTTGGTCGTTGGTGGTGTTGTTATTGCGGTGGTGGTGGGTACGGCGTCGGGAGTGTAGATCGGTATCGGCTCAATCTTAACCACCGTCTTCGTCTCAATCTCATGCGCGAGTTGAGCTAGATCCACGTCCTCGGCCAAGGGTTCTTGTAGCGTCACGAGGGTTTCCGTGTCCTTGTCAGCAGCGAGGTTCTTGAGTCGGTCTTTATTCATCACGACCGCCTTCTCACGGCGATGCTTTTCGCGTTTACGGTGTGTTAGATCGCACCACGTCGTGAGCATGGTGGTGCGGGGGGCGTTGTCCTCCTCACACACCCACTTGATCGCGTCCACAATCTCGTCTTCGCCGAGGTCGGTCACCCACCGGAGGGCGAGTTCCATGATGCCCATGTCGGGGCGTTCGAGGGCTTTGGAAATAATTCCGTTAGAGGTAAAGGAGGAAGTGGGCTTGTTGTTGTTCTTGTTGTTGCTGTTGTTGTCGCTGAACAGGGCCGCGCAGAATTTGGATGACGCAGCTCCACTCCTCAACATATACTGTATAGCGTGCCGCGGCCAGAAAAGTTTCGGGGCGCGCATGCAGTGGCTCAGGAGCGGGTGGAGGGCAGTGGGCGAGAGGATGACTTTGGGGAGGTTGTTGAGGAGGTGCGGGGTCGGGGGCAGGGTGAGGTATTTCGGCGCAGGGGCCTCGTTGGCCGGATCAACGGCCATGTCCGAATCAGATGCTTCAGCTTTAGCCTTCAGTGCCTTATGTCTCGGCTTGGCCCTCACGACTCTCTTGGCTTCCATCTCCTTCTCCAATCTCGTCTTCTCCTCGGCGATGGCCAGCTGCCGGTCCAGCTGCAACCGCCGTTCCTCGGCCAATTTCTTCTGCATCCATTCGCAGAATAAGGTCGAGAATGCGTCCGCCGTTAAAGACGGCCGCAAAAGGTTGAGGACGTAGGATTGGTCGAGCGTGTCCAAGTCGTGGAGTTTGGCGTTCCACTCCGCTAATGCGTTGATATCACCGCTCTGGTTGTTGTTATCTGCATCGACTACGGGCGCGGCGACGGGGCCAACGGTCGCCATGCCCAGACCGATGGGTTTGACCGCGTTGTTGTCGAGGACAGAGCCGAGGATGACAGACGCGGACGGATGTGCTGATGTTGATGTAGATTGTGATGATGATGCTGATAATGATGATGATGATGATGTATCAAGTGCAGCAGCCAGGAGCGGTTTGCGTAATTTGCCCAGCACCGAGGCCAGGGTGAGCGGTGGGCAATGGAACGGAATCAAATCAACCGTCGAACTAAATGTGACAGGACTCCTAGCCGCCACCCTCGACGTCGAGATGGTGATCACGGGTCCCGTGAGGGGCGACACGGACAATATCGTCTGGTATGTCCTCGCGACCGCAAATGCAGCAGCAGTGGTGGACGTTTCAGCGGATTCTCCGCTGTCAGTCCCGTTCAGAACTTTTTCGAAATGTAATGCACCATACTTGATGTCCCAGATCGTGAGCAGTTCGTCAACGTCGGTGGGGTTGGTGTTCTTGGTGGAGTTCATGTTTTTCCGGCTGCTCCCGACAATGGCAACATAGTTGGTGTCGATTGGATACATTGCCAGCGGGGCCGGCCCACTCGCGGCTGTCGAATTCGGTGGAAGGGCAAAGTTGTACATGCGGAGCGAGAATGCAATCTGTTCCTTCGCGATGGCGTTGCTGGAGACGTCGTGGACTTTGACGTCCGAGTTGGAGTACGCAACGACCAGCTTGGTCCCCCTTTGCTGCGCCGTGAAGGCAACGGGATAGGCTGGACCACAGGCGGGGAGTTCGACCTCGGATACTAGGTCAATGCTGACGGCTCCAGTGGGTTTCACGGTGAGGGAAGCCACGCGCACGGTGTAGACGTTGCTTTGGACGAGCACGGAGACGATGCGTTGCGACCGCCATTCGACCTCTTGTTCTTCATCAACAACATCAAACGTGGTTGACCACACAACCTGCGCGGGTGTCGCCGCTGCAGGCGATGACCATTCCGCGACCGGTTTCAGATCCCGCGATGCCACGGTCACGGTTCCCTCCGAATGGATCAGCGTCACATATGCGTGAGCAGCCGTTTTGGAGGGCACAAAGGTCGCGAGATGCTGTATCGGGGCAGTGAATGTCTGCGCGGCATCTGGTTTCCCCGCCGCCAGGGTCTGCTTCTCGGCATCGTCGCGTTGTCCGTCATCCACCACTTTCCACAT